CAAATAGCTAAGCTTCAAGTTTCCATTAAATTGCACTGGCGATTTGCTTCTTCATAGCACTTGCAGTTGCGTTTGCATTTTTGGTAAAATTCTACTCCAGTCCTTAATCACCTTAAACCAAATAGGGTTTTACTGGTAGTCTAGAAACACTACTTACATACGAAAAATGTCAAAAGTTCACTGTCTGAATAGTCATGATTATCCTCAGCCTAGGCTCGTGGACTGGGTACATTGCATTGGTGCAGACATTTTGCAGGTAGGCATGGATGGGGTAAGTGGAATAGATCGATAAGTGTGATATGTGGGGTAAATAGGTTGGGTGGGTTAGTTAGCCACTTTTGGCACCAAACCACAACTCATCGAAGAGACACATCTTGTATCTGAGACTGGGTTCTTCCCATGCCCGACTAGACAGGTGCTAAGGTCTTCGATGAGTCGTCTGGCAGTTGCGTCTCGCTGAATCCCACAAGAACATAATTTCACCGGATCTTGCATTTCGTTCTGACATGGCGCATTCATCTGAGTTGCCTTGGCACTTAACTAGAGCCGTTGTGTTTGTGGAAAGCTGCCTCGATGTAGATACCGTAGAAAATGGTATGCTAGAAAGAGATTTTTATAGGAAGACGACATATGTTGGCTGCTTGTTTGATTTTCTGTCCAACCATAGTTACAAGAGTAAGGTTGGAATTTTGAAGTCAATGATTCTTAGAAGTATGAGGCTAGCGGATAGCAAACATTTGACCAAAGAGTTGCGTAAGTGCTCTTTTTCCCATCTCTCCACACAAGGCTTGGCGACTCAGATTCGGCAACTCAGCTGCTCCGGCGACAGGCGCCTACGCTGGCTGCGAAGGCTCGAGCTTCGACTGCGAGGATGCCAGTCTCCAGCCTCGAGCCAAGACCCAGACTCAGCTTCGGCCGCAACGTTTGCCGCCGATCGACTGGCCAGTGGCCGGTGCCACGGGCGGACTTGTCACTTTCTCGGACGCCCAACTGCAGACGGATCGACGTCAGCGCATCTCACAGGCCCTGCATTCGGCCGGTCTCCTCGACTCCGACTATGCTCGCCAGTTGTTGGCTAACGTGCCGGGCTCCACAGCGATGCGCCGTGACCTGGTCGCCTCGGCCTATGCCGCTCAAACGCTCAGGGACCCTGTTGCTGGCGACTCTCTTCCTGCTCTCGCCCAGCCCAGCAGCCAGCAGTAGGGACTTTTCAACCAACCCATCCGGCCGCATCGGGACTACAGCCCACATGGAGATTATCACATCCATTTGATGCACATGGACCACACTTCCGGTCATTCCAACTTAACCCTGCTATCCCACGCGCCCTATCCACCACCCTGCCCACACATCCTACTTATCCCACACGTCACACTTACCCCACCTATCAAACTTATTAGATAAATCCTACTTACACCACCAATCACACTTATTATAAAAATCCCACTTACCCCACACATAACACTTATTCGACAAATCCCACTAACCCCACCTATCATAATTATTATAAAAATCACACTTGTTACAAAAATCCCACATACCCCACCCATCAAACTTATTCGACAAATCCCACTTACTCCATTCATCACACTTATTATACAAATCCCACTTACCCCATCCATCACACTTATTATAAAAATCCCATTTACCCCCACCCATAAAACTTATTCGACAAATCCCACTTACCCCATTCATCATACTTATTATATAAATCCCACTTACACCACCCATCACAATTAGTATACAAATACCACATACCCCACCAATCACACTTATTATACAAATCCCATTTACCCCTACCCATAAAACTTATTCGACAAATCCCACTTACACCACCCATCACAATTAGTATACAAATCCCCCTTACCCCACCAATCTCAGTTAGTATATAAATCCCTCCTACCCCACCCATCCACATTTTTCGACTCATCCCTCCTACCCACCAATCACACTTAGTATACAAATCCCTTTTATCCCACCCATCACACTTATACAAATCCTATTTAACCCACCCATTACAATTAGTATACAAATCCCCCTTAACCCACCCATTACAGTTAGTATATAAATCCCACATACCTTACCCATCCAAATTGTTCGACTCATCCCCCTTACCCACCAATCACACTTAGTATACAAATCCCACTAACCCCACCCATCACAGTTAGTATATAAATCCCACCAATTACAATTAGTATACAAACTCCCCTTACTTCACCTATCATAGTTAGTATATAAATCCT